GGTGCATCAAGGGAACTGGTAACGCCAAACACTATCCTGATCCTAAAGTTGGGGGTAGATGCTACACTCCAGTGGAAATGTGAGCGCTTCATTCGAGTGAACTATGCGACGCAATTCTTTGGAAGCTGCCACAGCCACAAATCTCTTCAATTATCTCATTTATTGGCTCTTAACATCAGAGGGAATCATCTTTTGATCTCAGAAAACACTCGTCTGCTATGGAATGGCTTTTGAACTGAATTCTCTAGAATGTCCGTGAAAATTCAAACTTTCAGAGCAGCCGTATAGGCCACATTTCTACAAAATTGTAGCGTTATCATGAAATATCGCCGAAATTCTCCCACATCAGCTATTCCTCGTCTGAGAATAAACATAACAATTAAAACTGTGCTTATGAAAACGGGATTCAAATTTCCTACGACGCGATTTTTCATTTTTGGCAGCTTGAATACTGATGTTGTTCGAATATTCAATGAATCATGTTATTCCAGCTAGAAGAATAGTTTTTACGGTATTGATTAATGAGTGAGGTTCCAGCTGTTATGTAGCAGGGGAAAGGATACTTTTTGAACAGGGTAGAGATTGAGAGAAGGAGTGGAAGCTTGGTACCGAAGCCGAATGTAGAAAACTAGAAGTAGGTCTTTGGATACAAAAAGGTTGAGATTAACTTCGCAACCCCATTAAAAATTCTGCTCTTACTACCCTTTCCTCTCAGTCTTAACAGTTTACACTCTGTTGTTTACGCTCAGTGCACGTTTAGAAAATTACTGACTCTCATAACAAAGAGAGGAAAAAAGTAAGGTCAATATGAAGTTCAAATTGGGAACGGGCTTCTGGTTTATCCAAGGTTGAAGTTTGTTCAGCTTTCAGTAACGGTGTGAACGTTTAAATGAAATCTGGATCCAATCCCTGAAAAGGGCAAAGGTTTTACTACGAGCTGTAAAAAGCAGTAGTGAATTAAAAAGATAAAAGATAAAAGGGTTGCCTCCATGATTCCAAGTGGAAGTGGAGTGCATGGCTCACAATGGAACTCCCGTCGACACCACGCTCCCCACCCTGTACTGTTTTGCACCCGATTCAACGGCCGCTAGAAGCTTTGCGAACCCTCTCCTTCTTACATCTCAGTTCCGTGCTATTGTGAAGAAGGGCGGAGCGCTGAAGTCATGAATTCTTTCGATATACAGCGACGTCTTCCATGTGCTGTAATAATTCGGCAAATGCTTTCCGCAGCGCCCTTGCGGCTGACCGCCGACTTCACCTTCGTGTTTGGCACCTCCCTCCCCTCTCCCAAACTCCCTAACCTACGAATAGGCGTCTTTATCCTTGTGATAGCTTTCAAAAGCTGGAACCTCTCCTGTTTCCTGCTTATATTCCGATTCTATATCGGAACCCTTCCAATGCTTTAGTTGTTTTTTATTTGTTTTGACAGGCCCGTTCTACATAAGGTCTGAATGCAAAGGTTTGTTGATGCAAGCTCGAACGTCAATCTGACTGTATCGGTTCTACACTTCAATAAGCCATTGTTTACGAGTTCTGCTCGTTTTCCCGGCGATGCCCAGAAGAGTGCTATAAAAAACTCAAACGTAGAGCTGACTTGAATGTGCCACCATTTCGTGAGACTCTTCTAGAGAAAAGGAAATGACGGTGGTCAGTAGACAGTCGATGAGGAAAAGATCTAAAGAGCAAAAGCTCAAGGGTCCCTAATACTAGGTTTCAGGATGAGTACGATTTGCTAAGGGTACAGAGATGTTGCAGCTGCATACTGGGAATAAGAGTTGGCCGAAACGATAAATGGATGAGTTAACTGGCTTGTGTCTTCACCCAGATCGTACTCAGGAGCTCAGGCGGAAGGTGTCTTTTGAGGTGAAATATTATGAAGGCATGTACTAAGGTACTGTTTGTCACCAATCCGTTGCAGACTGCATTCCCAGCCTTTTGCAAGGCCCCACACCATGTAGGCCTCCTTTTTCCATATACCAACTATCAAAGACAATGTCTTTGGACCAAACATAAGGAATTTTGCCTGAGGTAAAGATATTGCAATAGAAGGGTTAAGAGGTTATCACAATTTTTTTGTAATAGAAAAAGTTTGCAAACAGGGACGGACACTGCAGTTAGTAGGACAGCGTGCGTTTCTTTTTTTGAGTCCTTCTATGAGTACTCACGACCTCAACCAGCTATTGACCTTTGCTTTGAGCTGAAAAAAACATTTCACGGAACTCCACTCGACCAACTGTTCACCATTCATTCGAAATGACCTCATCTGGTATACGACTGCAGCTCCCCACCTCCTCTTCCACCTGAAAAAACGTATTGCCAGTTTTATTCAGTGCACTTTTCATTCGACCATCCCTCACTTTCATAAACAGTTAGATGGTTGGTTGCCTTTGCCAATAATGTCTCACCTCTATTGTTTCTCTCTCTCCCTTTTCATTTCTGCCCTTTCGAACCTCTGAAGTGTTCACGTCCTTCCGTAAATCATCGCCTCCAGCGCAAAAACCCTTTCAAGAAGCAAGTTCCCACCGCGTCTATCCCCAGTTTCGGAGGCGCAGTTCACGATACTTTCGAGGTACCTCTCTTTAGTCTTTCTCACTTTATTCGAAAAGCGGAAGTATAGGTTGGGAATAATTCATCGGTAGTGAAGAAAGCTAGAGAATTCGTCGATTTCGAGAAAAATATGGCTCCTTAAAAGTAGAGAAAATAGAGTTTGGACGAGATTGCCATGGAAATAACATGGAAGTGGTATTCGGACGAGTTTTCATTTGTTGCCATTGCGCAAAGAGCTGACTGCATTAAACCAAAAGTGTACAAGACTGCCTTCCGCTGTCGCTATGGGTCATAACAAATTGTTTGAACTTCCTACATGGGGTACATCATGAATGGTGCAGCCTCTACAGTGCCGGTGTAACCCGTTCGAGGATACACACGGTACAATCTTTGAGCCTTGAGCCCGCAACGCGCTTTCGTTCTCATTCTCCATCTTATCCATCGATTTAGTCCAGCAATTACATCTCCCTCACGGAATAGTCAGACAATAAGAGGTTTGATTAGTTGGAATCATCAATGAGGGCTTTGCCATAGGTGACTACATATATACGGTAAAATTACTGTATACTACTGAGGGGATCTTTACTTTCTCAATCCTCAGCTCAATCTTCAGCAACTTTCTAGATTAGACACTCACAATGGTAAATGAACATAGACAAAACTCGTCAGCTTTTGCGAAGTCGAAGTCAGTCTTTTAGAAGAATTCTTACGAATTACTCAGAAATATACCAGAGTGAAACCAGAGCTTCCCATGTACGCGTAGAGCGGGCGAGAAAGGGGCTCCCCGACGGTCAGTCCATAACAGGAGTGACCTGACTAAAAGGGAGCTTCCCTTCTCGCTCTCTTTCTATCCGTCACGCCCCTTGTCTGCCCACGCCATCCTATTACAATACATTTTTATTATTAAAAAATTTTCAGAACCAAAGTAAAGCGTTTTGGAAACGCCGCCTGAACAAAGCTAGCTGCATTCTCGCAGAGAATGCACAGTTACTCTCAAGTTACTGGAGTTGGTTGCAGTTGGTGGATTTTTTAGAGTGAACGGTCAATTTGAAATTACCCAGGTAAGGGTCATTCTGCCCAGAATGGCGCTTTTTCTAAACACGTTCAATAATAGTCAGGAAACGCCGTAGCCTCGAACGAGCCGCCGCAACGGTCGGCCGGCGTTCGGGGAATGTTTACCCTCCTACACACTTCAATACATTTCCACCACGCGAATACTATTTGCTTATTGATCATCAAAAGCGATTCCAAGCTTCACGAAAGCACAATCCATACAATTACATATGTATCAATCCAACCATAATGCCAACTCCGCCTAGACGTACCAGTGAAAGCTCGAAATGTCGTCGAATCGTTTTGTTCCTGTTCCACTTAATCGATGGGAAACCGGACTCTGTTGGCTAGTTTGGATATTTCACTCTCTGGCTGCTTTTGTAATCGCGTTCAATGTAAGCCAAGGTCATCTCAAGCCATGGATTCAACACTGGCTCACCAAGAGCGGGTAGTATTCAATTTAAAAGAGATGAGTGTAAAGACCAATGAGTTGAGGGATTTTAGTTATGTCAACGACACCGACATGGATCTGTCGGACACAGAATGGCAACATTTCCGAAATACAGTTGGCCATGTGGTTGTCAGTCACTTCGCCCACAGCCTATTGTGAGTTCACGTATAGAATTCGTCTTTTTTCCAACCCTAACCTGGTCGTTTTCGCTTCTGTTCTTAAGCTAAGAGCGAATTTCGTTTCAAGAGCAAGTAGATTACGGTAGGTTTTCAGGTTCTTTCTGGCAACTCGAATACCGTATCCGAACTGTGTCAAACTAAGTCTTAT